GGTACACACATTCTCCGTCTTTTCCCGCTGGTGCTGAACGCCCGCAATCTCACGTCGCCGGTCATTCTTAGTGCTGCCGAACGCTCAACAACTTTAACGCCGTGCAAGAGATCCTCGCCGCCTTCTCCTCGGCTCCAGTTTCTCGACTCTTGCAAGCCAAGCGGGTACCGTCAGCGTCTCCCTATCATTCCTCCCTGCGAAGGGGGGGTCTTGCTGCTATCCGGCGTAGTGCTAATGATTTGTGTTCGTTTCTTTGCCCGGGCGAGAGCAGACGGTGCAATCGCCAGAGTTCCTGGAGCTGAAGGAGCTGATGGGCATCTCCAACAACTTCAGCAAGTATCGACGCGCCGTTCGCGACGCCAACCCGCCGCTGGTGCCCTACCTCGGCCGATTCCTCACCGACCTCAACTTCATCGAAGACGCCAACAAGATCAGGATCAGCGCAAACAACCACGTCAACTTCCGTACGTGCCCGCCCGTCTCATCGTCGCCGGAGGCCAAGGCTCCTTTGTAGTGTGTGTTGTGTGTGATGTGTGTGTGTGTGTGTGTCTTTCGTGTCCGGGGAAGGATGTGTGTTGTGTGTGGTGTCCTGATCAGCTCACGCCCATTCCCATGTCTCGTGTACACGCCCATAGGCAAGTGCTACCTGGTGGCGGACGTGATCCAGGAGCTGCAGAGGTATCAACAGACGCCTTACAATCTGGCGCCGGTGCCTGTGGTGCGCGACTTCCTGCTCGAGGTTGGGCGCACGCTCTCCGACGACGAGGCCTATCAACGCTCCCGGCTCGTGCAGCCCCAAAAGGTCACCATCGACTGAGGCTGCCCCACCTTCCTCTACTCTTCCTTCCTATGTTATTTGTTGCATATACGATTTTCCACCATTGATGCGCACAGGAGCGTGTGTTTCTTTGTTTATTATTGATTGGAGGGGGGGAGGGTCGATAGAGCATCATCAATGCATGAATCGATGTACATAACGTGGTGGGATAGAGTATAAACACAGATGAAGGGGGGACTGATTGAGAACATGGTAGGTCGCTACTCGGAGGAGAAGAGGGCGGGGCGGCGAGGGGCTGCGGAGGTTGGGGACGCTATGCGCACGGTGCCGTTGCGACTCACGCCATTACTGAACTCCGTGTTGGTTCCATCATCGAGCGGCACGGTCGCGGAAAGATCCTTCTCTTCCGGCACGAGATTCTTCATAGATGCTCTCTTGCCACGCGCGGGCTTGGGCTTCAACGCGATCTTAGCAGGTTGGCTCATCTCTCTCTCGCTTTACTTTGAACTCGTGAGAAGTCTGTCGTCGTCTCTGTTTCTGTGTTTTGTGAATGTAGTTCACGCACGCGTACTGCCGTCCGAGTTGTGTGCTGCTTTCTGTCGCGTTGGCTCTTGGCTCTTCTTCTGGGCTTCCCCTTTATCGTCGTCTTCGTTCTTTTTGGTGACCTCGAGAGTCTTCGTCGCGTGGATTCTCCGCGCAGACCACGTGCGCTAACTGAAAAGCACTTGTCGACAGAAAGATGATTTGAAAATGCAAACGGAAAAGAGGATTTCCTGTGCGGGGGCCAGCAGCAACCGGCCGACGGATACCAAGGAGGCGCGGACCAACGACGGACGACCACAAGCATGCTGCAGCTTATTTCGTCAAGAGCGCGCAATGCGGTGTCGAGGGATAAGTTTCGCTTCATCGACGGCGAGCTGAACCTTGACCTGACCTACATCACCGATCGTATTGTTGCCATGGTATTGCCCCCCTTTTCTCAAATCTCTGCACTATGCACGACGTTGGCATGCAAGTATTCATTTTTACAACACGTCTCTTGCAGGGCCTGCCGGGTGCCGGCGTGGAGAAGGTGTGGCGCAATGAGCTGGAAGGTACATGACGTCGGGGCTCGGGGTTTTGTTGAGCTTGGCGCATCACAGACACTCTCTCCCCTCAGACGTGGCTCGCTTTTTTCAAAAGTATCACGCGGAGCACTTCATCATCATCAACCTCAGCGGCGAGGTGTACGACTACTCCAAGTTCCAGTACCGCGTCAAGGTAAATGGCATCTCTCTCTCTCTCTTCTCGCTCGTGCCATGCTGCACGGCTACTCACACAGAGCGGTGCATCGCCCATGCGCGTAGGACTATGGCTACCCCGACCATAGTGCTCTGCCCTTGGAGCACCTCTTCCAGATCATGTCGGTACACTTCCTCCTCCTCCTCCTCTTCGCTCTCCATCTCTCGGGCGACTGGCCAAGGGAGTAGTAACATAAGCGGAGAAGCAATGCGTTACGAGACTCATCATGCCCCTCACTCGTCACAGGCCATGAAGTATTACCTGGACGAGGACCCGAGCAACATCGTCGCTGTCCATTGCCTGGCAGGTACGCTCCATTCGCGTGTGTGCCACAAACTTGCGTCGGAGCACGGCCGGGCTGTGTGCTGATATTTGGGTTTGCCTCGGTCCCCTCAGGCCGAGGGCGGACAGGAACAGTCATCAGCGCCTTTCTGTTGTACCTCGGGCTCTACAACGACGCGACAGAAGCCCTTCGCTACTTTGCCAACGCGAGATCTTCCAAGGGTGCGTTGCTGATTACTGGCAAATGCTCCACCCCCAATGGAATGGTCGTTGACGCGCCTTGGTCCTGTGTTGGATCGTGCTAGGAGAGGGAGTGATTACCCCCTCGCAGCTCCGTTACGTCGGCTACTACAACGAGATCCTCCAAGGTGGGTTGATACCTTTCTTCTTGCCTCTTTCCGTAAGAAATGCGTAATCACCGTGTCAAGTTGCCTAACCGGCCCAAGGCAGGCCGGAAGCCCGACCCACGAGGTAAAGAGAAGAAGCTCCTGCTGGATAAGATCATCATGGAGCCCTGCCCGGTCATACCAGGCACCGAAGAAAAAGGCATTCAGGGCGGATGGACACCCGTTGTCCAAATCTGCACGCTCGCCGGTACCAGCATCACTCCCCTCACGTGCTCTATGCCCCCTCTGCCCGGACCCGTTGAAAGCTCACCAGGTTCTCTTGCTTTTCTCTTTGGCGGGTCCTTCTGTGCCAGGTATGACGCCGGAGGAATGCCTCTATTCGTCGAATAGCTCTTTTGCAAACTCTTTCAACACGCGGGATCACCCCCAGTCGATCATCAGCACTGGTACACCCCAAATCCTGCTAGCTCACGGCAGGTCATCATCGTGCTGAC